AGTGGGATGGGGGTGTTGCCCAGGTGCATGGACACTGGGTTTTTCATAGAAGTTACAGAAACGTCACCCTCTGCTAACCCCCATGACCTCTGAAAGTTCTGGCATACTGTCTCTTCTGCCTTCCCTGGATGACCCAGATTTCGTGGCATGCCAGTATTATGCTCAACCAATTGGTGTTCCTCCAACCCCCCATCTGCTTGGTCCATCATGTAGGGTCACAGATGTATCACCTCCGGCCAGGATCAACCCTCTCTCCTTCACTTCCTCTCCTCATTTTAGCAAAAGTCTAGTGACTGGAGTGGGTGTTTTATGTATTACTTGCATTACTTGTGGTGAGTTGTGACTAATTGATGAGGTGCCAGGGAAACACGTTGGCTGCATCGTCTGTCTCAAATCTGTTATATGTCCTGGGAACTCTTCAAGTAACCACAGGATGTTAGGCAAACCTTACGCAAACACCCGACCTTTTCTAGCAAGTATTATGATATCTGTCCAAATCTGGTATATGTCCTGGGAACTCTTCAAGTAACCTTAGGCAAACCTTATGCAAGCACCCAACCTTTTCTAGCAAGTATTATGATATCTGTACACATCGACATCTTTCTTGGATGATGTGAGCTCTTTGTTTCGCACCAGCTGGGGCTCAGGTTCTTGTGGGAAAGTCTGAGAACTCCTTGGCCTAAGCCATCCTTTGCATCTGGGTCCTGGATTTCACTGGGGATTGTACCCTATGGGGATTTTTGCTCTGAATGACTATGGTAAGGAGGTTGATGCACTTGGTATCATACAGATGACCCCTGAAGACCTGCCAGCACTGAGTCAAGTGAACCCAAGTGTGGAGTGTATTTGGTTAGGTTTCATTGACATGTAGCCTGCACCATAGCATAATCTGAATGGTTTGCATTAAACTAGAAAAACAAACCCGTCTTGAAAAGCTGTCAAATCCATGTGTTCCATATTTGAAGAACCACTGCCCAAGAATTTAAGGCAGCCCTTTTTACACCTCCAAAGCGATCAGCCAAAGTTCATGTGGAAGCCATCTGAAGTTAAGTGGTCTTCTTCTGCCTCCTGCACGTCCAGGAGACCCTCCATGGCAAGGGAATTTCAAAACCAGGACACTGCCCCTGCAGCTTAACATATCTCTGCCTTTAGGCAATCCCTGGATGGAACGTCCTGCCCACCAGCCCGTTGAACAGACAGTGAGGACCTAGTAATGGAAGGCACGTATCGAAATATTTTTACGCCGCTTATTGGTTAAAGGGACTGTCCTTCAAGATCTCTCAGATGTTGATGCTTCCATTGGTGCAGAATGTCTTGGACCGCCTTGCAGGACCAAGAGAAGTGATTTTTTTTCTCATTGAGCTGCACTGACGACCTGTTTTCTCTAAGCCCACTCCAGTGAACGGTTTTTGAATTCGAACCTTTTGTTACCTCCATCCGCCATGCCTTAGAGATAAATATCACCATGGCCACTGGTTTTTTTGCCAGACCCCATTTACTTCGGGAGGTGGTGAGTGCTCCAGTACTGGAGGTCCATGGCCACTGTTTTTTTTTGCCATACCCCAGTTACTTCGGGAGGTGGTGAGTGCTCCAATACTGGAGCCTTTGAGAGAAAATTCAGCACCTGTCCGTCAGATCTGCTTGGATTTGGATTCCTGCCTTGAGCAGTGGGTTGGACTGGATGGCCTTAGAGGCCCCTTCCAACTATGATTCTGTGATTCTGTGACACACACTATGGTGCCCACCAACCACCTTGACCCGATTGATTGATTGATTGATTGATTGATTGATTGATTGATTGATTGATTGATTGATTGATGCTTTTAAAATGGATACCTGCTGTCATTATGTGCTATCAAGTCTCATATGACTCATAGGGTTTTAATGTTTTTGTTAGATATTCATCATGTGATTCATGTACTGTGAGGCACAGTGGCATCATTCCCACTTCAAAAAAGGGTACCAGCCGTTCTTTTCTCCAGTAGGCAGACTGCAGAGCTGGGAAAGCAAAAAATATTGTTGTCTTCCACAACCCCACCATCATGGCAAAACTGGATAAGCTCAAATAGACAAAGGACGGCAGGTGATAGTTAGAGGGAAGAGCCGAGGCGGGCAGATGCGTCCATTGCCATGTCAAGTTTCATTCTAGTCTGCAATAAGCATTAAGAGGATTGGCCAAAGGCCAATTGAAAAAAGGTGGGATTTGAGGAGGTGGTTACAGGAAGAACATGGGTGGGACATGGTGGGACCAGCTGTCGTAAGATCAAATCCATGCAACGGAGTGAGCTCCCGTCGCTTGTCCCAGCTCCTGCCAACCTAGCCGTTTGAAAGCATGTCAAAATGCAAGTAGATAAATAGGGACCACCTTGGTGGGAAGGTCACGGTGTTCCGTGTCTAGTCGCGCTGGCCACGTGACCATGGAAACGGTCTTTGGACAAATGCTGTCTCTATGGCTTGGAAACGGAGATGAGCACCGCACCCTACACAACTGGACAGATTGTCAAGGGGAACCTTTACCTTGCCTCACAGGAAGGAAGGAAGGAAGGTCAACTCAAACATGGCCATGTCGAGCATGTGAGGGTCTGGATCGTGAATTCTGGCAGCTCCCCTTCAGTGCTGACCATTGGCAATGGGGGGGGGTTCTTTCCAATACAGCGAACAGTTGCCCCCAAACAAAATGGGGTAGATGGAGGTGGTGGAGGAGGTAAAGCTCTTCCCCTCTCGGGCGAAGTCTGATTCTCTCAGGGGAAAGTCTTCACATCTGCAGGCTCTACCTTGTGGACGCCCTTGAAACCCTCGCCCGATATTTATCCTTTTCTTTCTTCTGGTCCTTCCGACTTTTGCTCGCATGGAGAGTGAAAGGGTCACTATGCTTTGCAGTTTTTTTTGTTTTTTTCATTATTATTATTTCTTTTCTACCCTGTCCTTTTAAATTAGCAATTTCATTCCCCCCCCCCACTTGTAGTGCTGCTCAACCCTGAAAGCAATATTCCATCCTAGAAGTAACCTTGCCTTGTCTGTAGAAGCCATTCCAGTGCTCCAGCAAAATAACTTCCTCCCACTAATTTTGCAAGTCAAAGGTCGCCCTCTTCAGAAAGCGGGGCTATCAGTTCTAATTAAAGCTTTCCCCTGGAATCCCAGAATGCATCAAAATAAGGACTGACTCCTTAAATATCTTTTAAACGATGCTAATTGTGCTGAAATGCTTGGGTGAAAGAGAAAGGCTCTGGTATTTTCCTTGAGATAGACACATTTTCTTGTGGAACGGGATAGATTTTTTCGGGGGGAAAAGATCAGGATAGTTGTTCCACCTTTTACCCCTTGAGCAGCGGTGGGTAAAATGCAGCCTTTCTGATGTCTTCAGATTGCATTCCCTCTCCTCCCACCCCGGTCTAACCAGCCTATCCAAGTCTTATTGGAAGGTTGAATTTGTGCTTCCCCCCATCTGCTGCCTCAGAGTAACCTCTATTGCAGAGTTTTGAATTTTTGCTTAAATTCCTCTACCTGTGAGGCAAAAGTGTCAAGATTCACAGAGCAAAATCATTCCAAATTCCTCCACCATTTTTTCTCATAAACTGGCACTTACAATCTCAGTAACTCAGTTCCTCCACCATTTTTTTCTCATAAAATGGCACTTACAATCTCAGTAACTCATTCTGAGATACTCGTCGTGGAAAGAATAAGAGCCGTTTCATTTACTTACGGATCAACAGCAAAATGACAAACACGACTGCTTTCAGAAACACTCCAGAGAGGGAAAGGAGCTCAGAGCAGAGAGGCAGAGGAGAACTATTGGTTCATGCTGGATGGATTGACAGTCACCCCAATTCAGAAAGGTCCCTCCCTTCAGCCATACCTTCTCCAGGCAGCATGCGAGCTCAGCCATAACTTCTCCAGGCAACATGCGAGACTGTGAAAGCTCCCAACAATATCAGAGGGGTTGATTACTTTTGTGCATCACCCCTACTGTGAAAGCTCCCAAAGGGGTTGATTACTTTTGTGCATCACCCCTGGCAAGTCAGGAGGAGGCAGTGAGTCCGGATGATTGTTTTGATCTATCCCAGTGACCGACACCACTTGGCAGTGTGGCTTCGGAAGCAGTAATGGGTACAGAAAATTGATTGAAGAAATGTATAAGTCACTTTTAGGAAATTGACTGAATAAACATGCAAATAATTCGTGACTTTTTGTGGCAGCAAATTCAGTCACTGAGTTTGGGCAGGATCGTCCCTAAAAAGGGGGATCTTGTGGAAAAAAGAAAAGAGCTGTCATCCTTCCCAGGAACCCCCAAATTTGGACAAGTCTCCACAAGGAGGGAACTGAAGGAGGGTGGAGACGGGACCGAAAGCTGCCCGGGGGGAGCTGAGTGTGGTCGGTGGGTGTAAATCGCCAAGTGTGTTCATCAGAGAACAAACAAACTGGTGGCCGAGAGGGGATGAAATAGGGTACGTTGACCAGGGCTGGTTGACTAGAGTATTGAACAGGAAAAGACACTACCATGTTTTATGGCAAGATTCATTCACCTGCGGCTCTGTTGCTCATTTTTAAGTCAGTTAACAATTTTTTTTTTAAAAAAAAGCCATCTCGCCCCCCACCACAGTCAGAACTCTCTTTGGTATGCAGTTAGTATTGTATGTTAAGTGCTTTGCATTATTAAAAGTCTTCTTATTTTATTCCTCTTATTTGACACTGGTGTTTGATCAGGCTTGTTAAGAAAGGTGCCCAAGTGATTTGAGGAAGGAGCCTTTGTTAGTTCAAATGGAGCCGATTCTTTTCTTCCAGCCCCTGGGTGTGCCACAAATAATTCACGTGTGCTTCTGGATGAAGGCAAGTTGTTAAAATAACACAAGGTATTACTGTGGGCGAGTGCCTTCTCACGTGACTAGGTGTCCGGAGGAAACTGGGAGCTCTCCTGCTGATGGGACAAGCACATTTTGAGGTCTGATCCTTCTTCACGCAGCCAAAGAGATAGACACCTCACATCTTTCCGCCTCTTCCAGTTCCCCCAGGCTCAACTGCGAAGGGTGCTTTCCGAGAACTCCAACCTCCAGGGGAGCCTGTCGAGCGTCAGGGAGCAGCAGAGGAAGCAGTTCGGGGAAGAAGAGCGTCGGCTTCGGTGCCCGAGCGGAAAGCGAAACCCTTTGGGAGTGTCCCGGGAAGGAAACGGTCAGGCCAAGAAGAGGTAAGAAACGCCCCCACTACGGCATGCACCCTCTTCGTCGCCAGGGCGGCCCCCGTTCTCCAGCCTACCGCTGTGGCCCCTTGCAGTCGCTGGGGCTCCTGAGACCTTTCTGTGCTTTTGACGCGGGTTTCTGAGGGTGAAGATCCTGGTCTTGGAAACCAGGGTTTTTTTTTTTAGAAACCTCTCCATTGGTCACATAAAGAGTTGTGCTTCTGGACCCCTTCTTAGATATGCGCTTGGAGCAGGTGGTTCCAGCTTTTCTGGACATGTGTAAAATAAAGGCTGGCACCCCTCTTTCCGAGAACTCCAGCCTCCAGGGGAGCCTGTCGGGCGTCAGGGAGCAGCAGAGGAAGCAGTTCGGGGAAGAAGAGCGTCGGCTTCGGTGCCCGAGCGGAAAGCGAAACCCTTTGGGAGTGTCCCGGGAAGGAAGCGGTCAGGCCAAGAAGAGGTAAGAAACGCCCCCGCTACGGCATGCACCCTCTTCATCGCCAGGGCGGCCCCCGTCCGCCAGCCGAAAAAGTTTAGGGAGTTAACTATGTCAGCCTTGCAGTTCGTTCACCCCAGGGCCTTGCCCAATGGGTTTCATTTTATTTTTAAGTAAAGCTGGTTCGGCCCCCGAACACAGTTCAGATTTTTCATGTGGCCCCCTATAGAAATTAATT